CATGCCAAAAGCCACATGTCCGTCATCACCAAAGTTACCTCGGCTCGAGAACTTAGGTACAAGAGGGGAAGGTCCTGAAATGAGCACCCCCGCTCGCCCGATCAAAGATCGGCCACTACTAATCATGATATGATTTTTTATAAACATTATGTGTTCTTATTCCGGTTATTAGCTAACATTACTATGTGATGCGCACAAGCAAGTATAGGCTAGTTGCAAGACTTAGAACAATTCAACTCATGTTTATTTGCGAAAATGATTTGAATTTGCCACCTCAAGTGGGCTTAAAGATGCGGATTTGCCACCAAACATAGTGGGCTTAAAACATAATTTACCACAACAAAGTGAGCTTAAAACTCACATTTGTTGAATCATTCCAATTCAAACAACAAACCTTCATCCACAGGCATCAATGCAGTTTAGCATATAAGCACATAGCCTCATGGCAAGCATGCTAATCATGGCATCATGGTAGTCATACTCATGCAAGTATGCTAAAGCATAAAGACTTACTGAGTACGCCAAGCCAAAACAAAAAATTAGTTAGAAAGATGCATGATCCTAACTATACAAGATATCTAATGCAACACATGCAATAATGCAATTAATAGGCTCGGTTACTAACATGGCATATGGATCGATTTGAACAACAAGTGATTAAACATGTATTCAAAGAAGATATTGAAATAGCAATGCAGTTTGAATGATGCGCCGAGCCTCGGTGCATGCAAGACAAATGAATGGATGCAAGCATGTGATATGCTAATTGAAATATGTCCCTAATCTAACCATCAAAAGCGATCAAATAAAAGGGAGAAAGACATGGGGTTGGAAGATATACACACATGCACGCACACTTATTACAACATTACACCCTCGCGAAGGAGGGTCCGAATGAATAAGATAACCAACTAGCTAGGCTAATTAGGGCTAAGCTAATTATTACAAGACAAAATGAATTAACTAACTATTCTAAGCTAATTAAATATTACAAACCATAATAATTAGCTAAATACTAAGCTAATTAAGTACAAAGTAATTAAACGAATTAATTAGTTACCACTAATTAACTAAACAAAGCAATTAAATGGCTTCGGGAAGTGTGGGATGCATGTATGCTCAATATTTCACCCGAATGGCTACTATTTTGCTGCTGCAATCCTCTGTTGCACAGAAGCACTTACACTTTCCTCTTCTCCAGATCACATCTGTTCTGCCTCAGGAACAATCTGCTGAATTTCATTGGTGGCCGACAGGGGGGGCCGGTTGGCTAGTACTGATTGTCGGTTGGCCAACAAAGGTGGCTGATCGGCTATTGATGGTGGCTGGTCGACCACTGGTGGTGGCTGTCAGCCATCACTGGTTTGGACTTCCTTGCTGCGACAGAGAACATAACAGAGCAAAACAGTGTACTTTTGCAGGTTTGTTTGTACTATTTACATTCCTTATCATCAAACAAGCTTAAATGAGTGAAACTCTTGGCCCTCAAACCACCAATCAAGCAATTTCCATGCTTGATGACTAAGGAACCAAGTTTGTACAAGTTAATGAGTGCAAAACAAGACTCAAAAGGACCACCACCCTATCATGCATGATCAAGGGTGATAGTGACCAAGGAAAGTAGCACATTTCATCACTTTGAGTATGAATGTCCCATTTTTCTTGTGTTCGAATTAACGTCCGATTCGAACACATGCAATGCAACACGAAAGATGCTTATCTTGCGTCTTTTACTTGTTCATTTTGTTTACTCATTTTACATTACTGATTCATTCTTTAATCGATTAAGTCCAAAAGTGAGTGTCCTCTAATGGAAAGATGGCTCAAACCACAAGTTACTTTAGGCATGAAAGAGACATTACACTGTTGGTAATGAACCCCCTACGGGATTAAACCATTAGGTGCAACACCTCCATTTCACACTTAGGCAAACAAGGGGTTTAAAACCACTTTCAAAGAAAACAAAAGAGTGAAGAATTGAGGGAGGTTGCAGAGATTAAGTGCTGAAATTAAGTGCAAAACAACACTAAAACATGCTATTAACTCAAAAGAATGATGATTAAAGCATTAAAACATTAAGCTAGTAAAGGAATTAACACTATAACTATGCAAAACAAACCTCAACTGAACTAACCAGCCCAAAACAAAGCCAAAACAAGTTATTTCATAGGCAAAAACATGCTGGACTAGAGCTAGGTTAAGCTAGTAAAACATGCTAACTCATGAAACTAACTAGGCATGCAAACAAGACATAAGGAGGGGAGGCTAACCCCACTAATTTTGGACTTCAAAACAAAGTTTTTACCACTAAAAAACCTTTGACGTTCAGTGGTTAAAAGGCCCAAAAAAGTTAATTTGAAAATGGTAATTAATAGCACAAAAGCTTAACAAGCTAAGAAGCAAAAAGGGTGGGCAACCCCCTAACTCAAAAGGGCTCAAACCACCACTCTTAGGTCATAAAAACAGAAGTTTTTACAGTTGAAAACTAGGCCAAAAACAGTAGAAAAAAGATGGGAAAATAAGTAAGCAAAGCAAGCTTAAATAAGATAAGTGCTATACCTTTGAAGCCAAGCCACAAAATATCAAAGGTGAGAGTGTTTGGTTAAGGGTTGATATGCAAAGGGTAAGGACTTGTAAGCAAATGTGTGCAAAATATCAAGAGAGAGAGACATATATTTTTTGTCTAAATTTTCTAACCCTCAAAAATGGGGAAAGACACCCCCTATATATAGAAAAACAAGTCTTGAGCTTGTGAACATCTCACCATACACGTGTATGAAGATGCAACTCGGTGAGCAACAACTGGCAACAAATATCTGGAAAAAGATACCAAAGGTTATTGGCCACCACTGATAGCCGACAAAAACAAGCCCTGGCCAACAGCCTAGGGGGCTGGCCGACAGGTCACCCACTCCTCCAGACTAGAAGCAACAAGCTCTCGGTCCAAAAACATGCACAAAACAGATAAGGTTTAGATGCTCAAAGGCAAGGCGTTTCGCCGAGGACTTCGAGGCGCTCAAAACGAGCACAAACAAAGACAATCATCGAGTGTACAAACGATGACGTCTAAGTCTTGAGGATGGTCAAAAATGGAGTATCTACACTCACTAGCGGGGTTTTAATTCCCCTTTGATTAGTACATAAGCAAAAAGGGTGGACAACCCCCTAACTCAAAAGGGCTCAAACCACCACTCTTAGGTCATAAAAACAGAGGTTTTTACAGTTGAAAACTAGGCCAAAAACAGTAGAAAAAAGATGGGAAAATAAGTAAGCAAAGCAAGCTTAAATAAGATAAGTGCTATACCTTTGAAGCCAAGCCACAAAATATCAAAGGTGAGAGTGTTTGGTTAAGGGTTGATATGCAAAGGGTAAGGACTTGTAAGCAAATGTGTGCAAAATATCAAGAGAGAGAGACATATATTTTTTGTCTAAATTTTCTAACCCTCAAAAATGGGGAAAGACACCCCCTATATATAGAAAAACAAGTCTTGAGCTTGTGAACATCTCACCATACACGTGTATGAAGATGCAACTTGGTGAGCAACAATTGGCAACAAATATCTAGAAAAAGATACCAAAGGTTATTGGCCACCACTGATAGCCGACAAAAACAAGCCCTGGCCAACAGCCTAGGGGGCTGGCCGACAGGTCACCCACTCCTCCAGACTAGAAGCAACAAGCTCTCGGTCCAAAAACATGCACAAAACAGATAAGGTTTAGATGCTCAAAGGCAAGGCGTTTCGCCGAGGACTTCGGGGCGCTCAAAACGAGCACAAACAAGGACAATCATCGAGTGCACAAACGATGACGTCTAAGTCTTGAGGATGGTCAAAAATGGAGTATCTACACTCACTAGCGGGGTTTTAATTCCCCTTTGATTAGTACATGTGTATGATATATATGTATGATGTTTTTTTGGCAAGTCCCAAATAAAATGGTTCATTTATCAGTTGGTGGAGCAATTATCTTTTTTCCAACACAAATCACCCAAATTTTAATTATGTTAATTGATAACACCGGAGGCTTTGGTAATGCTTCTCGCCATCCCACAAGGGGAAGCAAGTATAAATTGTAGGAACAAGCGCTTTCCCATTATATTAAAAGCTCTTGATCCTACCATTAAGTATCATAGCAAGTCATAGGTTCACCTCTTCTGGAAGCATGGATTGTTTGCAGACAGGTGCTGAGGGCGCTGGTGTTGGTGTTGTACCTTTCAAGAAAATAAAATTGCAGGTGTTGATAGCATTGGTGCCTGGGTCAACATCATGTTGTGGCAGAGACCCAGTTTGGGCCCCCAGACTGAGTCACAATTGGTTGTGGCACTGGTACTACACCCTTTTAAGGAAATCAAATTGCACCCTAACTACTAGCTATAGTTTTTGGTATAATGAAAGCGCTTTGGTATAATGGGAAAGCTTTTGACTATACAACTAAATTGCACTGGCAAGGACAAAGACAATCTATCTATTGGGCAAAATTTACTTGAATTATTATTATCACTATTAATTATTGTAATCATTATTATAAATTTTTCATTAGTAATACTGTCTGTTTTATACAATTATCTGTAGGGTATAAACTTGTAACAAATCTTATTTCCAAGTTTCAACTCTAAGGACTATATAATTGCATCTTGAATTTTGTAGGAATTTAAAAAATGAAAGAAAAAGCGAGGACAAAATTAAAATAAAAATTAATTTTTACGTATTTTTACTTTCACTTTCTTTTTTCTACACAAATTCCTCAATAATAAGATCCAAACATAATCTAAAATAGTCTTCACTTTCATCCAAGACGACATGCAGCTCACTAACGAAATTCTCTGTTACAGAGAAAAGACAGGAAAAATTTTGCCTCCATAAATCTCTTCACAAATACAAGATGCAACACAACATAAAGACTTGAACCCACACCTCATAGCATGATATATGTCGCAGAGTTCAGCAATTTGTTGTCTCACCACCAATCACAATCACAGAAAAAGAAAATAGGATCACAAAGACAGTGGATACCATCCAGAAAATTTTGCATTCAACAACAATACTAACCAGATCAGGATTCAAAAAGAATAACGTACATTTATACGAGTCACTTATTTCTATGTCAACTGAAAATTTGACCCTTCCGGTCACCCACATCAACATGGACGAGTTGAACCAATTCATTGCAGCAGAAGAAAAATAAAACATAGTTTGCTTTAGAAGATAATTATTGCCAATGCAAGTCATCCCACAAGCATTATACTAGGAGGAAAAAGAGGAGATTTAGTTGACAACATCGAGCACCAGCTTCCGGGACTTTAGAACAGACCACCTCATACGCCTATAATAAGCAGCTTGAAGCAATGCCAATGACAGTACAAATATCCACTTGAATCCCATCTGCATTAAGCAAAGCACATGACCGTCAGAAATAAATATAAGTTCTATAAAATGTGGTGTAATGATTTTGGAGCCAGCATACCAGTTTCCTCTCTTCCATTTCTGGCTCGGCAGCCCACGCCAAAAATGACACCACATCTTTCCCCATCTGCACCAATATCCATTGAGAATACGAACTTAATAATAAGACTTATGAGAACAAGCACAATATTGTACAAGTCAAATATGGGAGCCTTGTATAACCCCAAGGCAAAGTGAGAGGGAAACCAACCTGAGATTCTGTTGCAGGGGTACCATCTTCATACTCAACAGCACCATCATTAAGCATTTTAGGCATCGCAATAGCTCCCCCAGGAAAGTAAGGATTATAATGCAACCCATCCCGGATCTACAATATCAGTATAACTTCGTTGATTTAGGTATTACCTAAATTTACAAAAACAGTCTCTAAGGATGTGGGCATTTTAGGCACAGTCAACATGACAACAAATGTGTGAAGTTCTTTGAATGGCATCAAGGAATAGAGACATCTTCCCTTTAAAGAGGTGGCCTGTTTCACCAAACAGAACTGATTGTGTAGAAAGAACACAATATGTATTGTGCAAAGGAAAGCTTGTGCCCATGCATACCTTTGAATCCACTTATTTTTATTCACCATGAAAGCCTACAATAGTTCACTAATTATGAAGAAAAGGTGTATTGCACCAACTGCAAATGTCCAATAGCTTATATATGCAGACCAAAAAAAAAATTCTAATAGACGGCAGAAGCTCTGTTGCCATCCATAAGTGGCACAAATCAATTCAGTTCCCCACACATACCAAACTACACCCCAGCACATATCATTACAAATTCAGGACTCTTTTTCCGGTGCCGGTATTGACACAGCAGCAGAGGAATGAAAGACCTCAATGTGGAGTTGGACTCTACCAATGCTGTTTGCATCAGTCAAGACAAATACATAGAGGAACACCTATAGAGCCTTGGGCAAAGATTGTAGATTTATTGCACAAAGGCACAAAATTCAAATCAAGCATACCTATGCAGATTTCATGGCTAATTTCGGAGCTAAACTCAATAGAGAGGTCATCATTTTTGAATCCCCCCTCACAGACTAGGCGACCTGCCATAGCAGCCACCGTTGCTGTGGCAATAGCTGCAGTTTACTTATTTTCATTTTATATATATATTTTTTTGGTTTCATTAACCGAAGTCATAATCATCACAGAACATCTACATATGATTGCGGTCAATATCATAATCCAAATGCGCATATACTAAACAATTACACAGCAAGTTCAAGAAGAAATTTTTTCTTTTTTTTTTTTTTAATCATGAGTTCAAGAAGAAAGTTCACAAAAGACTACCAAGCAGAACTTACTGCAACACCAGCAGGAGGATCATGGTAACCAGTTAGAAGAGCAAATACGTAGTTCTGACCATTATGACGAGCCTGAAATGCCAAATAACATGAAATTGTTAGGATACATAAATAAAGTTCCTCGAACAAAATTAGAAATAGAAGACAGGAATTACTTTGGTGATAAGACTTAAATCTGGAGGATATGCCCCTCCATTAGCAAACCTAGCAGCTTGTTCATTTGCATATGGCTGAGGAAAACGATCGCTCAGTTTACCAGGGCGAGTAAACATTTCACCCTCATCATTAGGCCCATCCACCACCTCAATCTCAGCTGCCATAGCCTTTGTTTCCTCCTCTGTATACGCCACACCCACCAAGTCACGATATGAAATTAGGGACATGGAATGGCAGGAAGCACAGACTTGCTGGTAAACCTGGTGACCACGACGAATCCTGCTCGTGTAACATTGAACATATAAAAGATTAGTGATATAATGGTAGCATGAAAAATCCAAATAACTGCAAGCAAGTGAATCAAAAACATTATGCTGCTTCTATGAAAAATAAATGCTCTATTTAAAAGATATCAGGTAGCAAAATAATTCTACAGTTCCCTGCTGCAGGATGAATTAGGAAGTCATATTTTTCAAGTGAAAAAAGAAGAAGAAGACGAAGAAGAAGAAGAAGAAGAGAGAGAGAGAGAGAAGGCAAATGGGATGAAAGTATTGTGTACTAACATGTTGAAAGAAGCAATTGTGTCTATGATCTAAAATAATGGAAGATCTCAGATTCACAACCAGGGGAGTGAAACAAGATACGAACAAACTAGAGTGAGTTGTAAAGATAGAGACCAAATTGTTTCAATTCAAGGGTTGACCAATCTGCAATAAGTTTTATCAATGATTTAACAAGCAGTCCACAGGTCGTTTACTATGAGGGCAAAGTTGAGCTCAACTGCAACTAAGAGAGAGCATTTGACAACCATTTCATGGGTTCAACAGATACTCACGAAGCATGGTCATATGAACTGAGAATGCCACTGTGAGGCCAAGGATAGTTTGGACACGGTAAACCATGTTCAGCTTCATCAGCGGATGCTATTGTTGCAAAACTCAAAAGCCCCGATACACCTGCTCCAAGAAGAGCAAATGCTCTCAGGGACTTCATGCCAGTAGATCCAACTCCCTCTTGATCTTTCTTTGAAACAATGGGCGACAAAACCGGACGGGCCTGAAGAGTTCATGCAGATACCATTAGCTATCGGTGTTGACGACCACCAATCAAGGACTAAAATGTCAAGTATGAAAAGAAGAAACTATAAATAACCTAATCACAGGCTATACTAATGTCTCCATTTTATCCAATTATGCTCTTGCCCAACCAAGATAACATAAGTTCAGCACCAAAACTTTTATAGGCAGTTGCAACATGCATAGCCACTGGTTCAAAACTTTTTACCCCTTTTAAAGTTTGACTTACATGTATAACAATCAACCCACAACCCTACTATCTATTAAGCTCTTGGAAATAAATTGGAAAGAGCCACAGAGTATAACAGTTATGACAAATAACACTCTAACTTCATATTATATTCTACTAAAATTCAGCTCATTATACCAAAACAAACTACTACTGCTGATAAGAGAGAATTGTTGAGCAGATATTGATTGATTCATTTATTAGAAGCTATGCTACATGGACTTGAGTGAGGTGTTGGGTGTGGGGATGTGACTTAGTATCGTATTCATCTAATTATCATGTCCAAGGATACAATGTCTATCTTTACTTATTAAAAAGATTGAATGAAAGTTCAGAAAAACAAACAGAATTTAAGGTACATCTTATACTTTTGCAGATTCTCTCTTCAGTTTAATTTTGAGTTTATGGCGATGAAACCCTTAAATCACATCTCTGATTAACCACCTAATGCAGGAATATCTATCTCCCATCCTACAATTTGAAAGTTGGTTGTGTTACCAAACAGTTTAAAACAAAAAACTACCACCCAAAATTTAAAATAAAATTAAAAATAAAAAAAAAAACTTTTTCGTCAGGTTACCAAAAGCCCAAAACAACTAGTTCCAGTGCCCTATGATGCACGGACACGGACACGATACGGACACGTAAATAAGCAAATTTTCAAAAAATAAGGGACACGACACGTTGGGGACACGTTTAATATATATAATTTTATTTATTTATTTTATATCTAAAATTTAAAAAAATATTAATTCTTATAAAATTACAATAATAATAAAATTAATAAATATATTATCTAAATTTTTTTTAATAAAAATTGATTTTTTTGTTAAATAAAAATAATTTATTTTATAAATTTGAATAAAAATATGGATATAAATAATAAAACAAACCGAAAAAAAAAAAAAGAATAAAAAGAAAAGGGTGGAGTGGAGAGAGACATGAAATCAGATGAAAGGAAGAGAAGAAAGAGAGAGACAGAAGGAGAGACGAAAGAAGATAGAAGATAGAAGACGGAAGACGAAGACCAAGGAAGAGGAAAACGATGCGAAGACGAAGACGAAGACGAAGCGAAGACGAAGGCAGAAGAACAGAGAAGCGAAAGAGAGAAGAAGAACAGGTTAGGACTTGTTCTCTCTGTCCTCGATCTGTCTCTCTCTTCCCTCGATCTATCTCCCTCTCTCTCCCCTCGATCTGTCTCAGATCTGGCTCTCTCTCTTTCTCCTCTCCAACAGTTCTAGGGCTTCTTCGATCCACCTGTGTGTCTGAATCGTGTCTGAATCGTGTCCAACCTCGTGTCCGACTCTGAAAAATTATGAAAAAAAAAGGGACACGTAGGGGAGAGTGTCGGACACGTGTCCACAGCGTGTCGTACGCGTGTCCGTGTCCGACACATGTCCGACACTCATACACAAGCTTCAGGGACGTGTCCGTGCTTCACAGTGCCAAAACAAAATACTTGCTTCTAAAGAAAAACTCAGCCGTGTCAAATGGGCCTTAAGAAAAGTTTGAACCAAAGATGTTAATATGTTATATGCTTATAAAGAAAATTCAGTCAAGTTCACAAGCTACAAGATTGCATTAGTTAGATACCCACATAACACAATGCAAAAGACAAAAAGATCCTTACAGATTGAGACTGAAGTCTCCGCATCAGTAATTGGTGGAATGCTCTACCAGCCATTTTAGTCAATCTGTTCATTAGTACACCAAAAGAAACACAATTTCAATGAAAATAAACAAAATTTATGGAATCAAAAAAAGTTCAATTTTGGCTTTTATCACAGGATGGTCAGGGGCAGTGAGAAAGATTGGAAACCATTCCATGAGCCAGGAAAAGGTCAAAGTAGCAACCAGTTACCAAAATTTACCTCCCAAATGACCAAAAAACAACAACAACAACAACAGCAAAAAGGCTTCCTTAAGGAAAGTGCCATTCGAATACAATGTTACACGGGCAATTTTTTATGCATCTTGAAAAAGTAGAATCTCTACTTTTCAGCAACAACTATCTATCATAGACCAGAATACTAGTGCTAAAAAAGATTTTCAAATTGAAATACTGAGGTTGAGAGATTGAAGAGCCTGAAGTTAGCGAAAGAATAAAAAACTAGATTAACAAATAGGGAGAAAGACCTAGGAGGTGCTGTTAACAAATATGAGTAAGTAAAAATTTCCAAAAAAAAAAAAAAAAAAAATGTCTGAAAAGTGGTAAACTCTAAATGAAAAAACTAGATTAAACTGGTATTAGTACATCCCCTTCCAACAGAACAACAAAACACCAACTCAAACAGAATTCATATCTATAATCCACAGAAAAAGCAGGCATTTATTATCATACTACAAACAGGACCACCACATAAATGACGGCCATTTCATTGGATTCTAAAACCAATCACATAAGTCAGCTTTGGAAAAAAAATTGGCTTTAGCACCTTAACAGATGATGAAAGTCAGCTTTAGCACAACCTTAACAGATTACAAAGTTCTACCTTCAAAACCCACAGAAAATCCCATTGGTGCCATAAATTTCAGCGTGAGATACCCAAACGTATCTTATCAGTACAATTCCCCATTTCTCTCATAATAAACCTCAATAGAAACTACATTCAGACAAATCAGAACCACGATTGATATAATTTACACTTCCGCATTGGCAAATAAAGAATCACTGTATACTCTCATCTCGATTTGTGAATTCAAATGACGAATAATCTTTGTACAAGAATATATGTGATACAATCTGTAGATTCCATTTAAACCAAAAGCACACTCAGCTGAGTAAAGCGCCAAAGGTTGCATAAAACTGTTTCGTTGAAATTGAATTAAGCATTTCCCTCAAATCATTTCCATCTAAAAAGCACATGATTATCTTATCCATGCAATCTTCCCATAAAATGGGAAAAGGAAAAGTGATTCATTTTCCTTTCCTTTACTTTAATTCAAAATGTTTACTTGTACAATATTACTAGAAATTGAACGAATACCAAAAAGCTTTTACATTCGTATATATATATAGATACACACAACCCTAATATGATGTAAAAGAGCAGATCGTGAAATCGTTCAGAGCAATGAAGAGAGAAGTGAAGAGAGAATGATGAGAGAGAGAAAACTCACAGGGACGGTGCTGGAGGACGGAGGTAGATCGACGGCGATTCTAGTCCGCGCACAGAGAGAGGGAGAGAGAGAGAGAGAGAGAAAGAGAGAGACAGAGATCCAATGTGGAACACACACGCCCACACACAAACAGCTAGTTCTCTCTTTCACTTTCATCGAAGACCAGGCTTACAAAATTCTGATTAGGTTGGGCCTGTAGCCCAAATACGGGGTCTGATCTACGGTTGAACCGGAAATACAGTTGCCAGTACAATCTGTCATTCACAAGCTAGGCTAGGGCTTGGAATTAAAATCATCTTTCCACTCTGTGTTTTTTTTTTTATATATTAATTTTTAAAATTTCTTTAAATTATTTTTTTCGTAAACTGTAATAAAAAGTTCTATCAAATTTTTTGATACTATTATTATTTTTTTAATCATAAACAATTTGGACTTTCTTAGATTATTTAAATTTTACTTAAAAACTTGCCTAATTTTGAAATGTACTTAAGGTTTACGAGTCAATTTCAAATGAATTATTAATGATTAAAATTTGAATAGCTTTTTTTTTTTTATCTTATATATGTTTATTTATTCAAATATAATTTAAAATTTTAACAAGTTTTAAAATCAATACATTTTTTGTATTTTTATGTATTTATTAATTTTTAAAAATATTTTTTCACAAATTTTTTACTTTTTAAATACATCTAAGTAAGGTGCATCTAAATGAGTAAAAAAAATGTTTAAAATTTCAAAAATATTCACTAAAAATAAAAAAATACAAAAATCAAAAAATTTAATTTTCAAAAAATTTAATTCAAAAAACTCAAACCAAACCTACTGAATTTATTTTATAGTAATAAAAGATTTTTGCACTTTGGAATTTTAAATTATTATTTTTTTTAGAAAAATGCTTGGGAGCACTAATTAGTGCTCCCACTAATTAGGTGGCAGTGGATCTAAGTAAGATGCATCTAAAAAAGTAAAAAAAATGTTTAAAATTTTAAAAATATTCACTAAAAACAAAAAAATACAAAAATCAAAAAATTTAATTTTCAAAAAATTTAATTCAAAAAACTCAAACTAAACATACTGAATTTATTTTATAGTAATAAAAGATTTTTGCACTTTGGAATTTTAAATTATTATTTTTTTTATTGTAAAAGGCGAAGGTGTAGGAAGAAAAATATAAAACACAGCGGCAGAGTCCCAGATTGAAGGAAAACCATTGGCGCCCACTCTTTCTCCTCACAAAAATTCTGTGACACATTCTTTCCTCTCTCTCTGTCTATCTCTCTCTCTCTCTCTCTATGTATATATAGATAGATGGGTTCTCTGAGGTTATTTATTATCAGGAGGATTACATGAAATGGTGAGGTCTTGTACAGGAAAACACACTTTTACAAAAGCAACCGTGGTCGCAGCTTTGGGAGGGCTTGTTGGTGCAGTGTTGGTATTAGATTTTCTCTGGGCATCGGTTTCTTCTTCTTCTTCTTCTTCTTCTACATATTCATACACCATTTGGGCTAATCACAGATCTCGTCTTGTAGTCATCTCAAATCTCACGGACCCATCTCAGAACAAGGTCAGGCCCCTCTTCTTCAAAACCTTTTACTTTTCCACCCCGTTTGGATTGTCTGATTTGGGAAGAAAAAGAAAAATAAAAGATGACGAAGGGTTTTTAGTTCATAATAGAGAAAGAAGGATAAGTGTTTTTATAATTGCCAAGCAGAAAATTGTCTATTTGCAAAGTAGATGGAGTGCTTAAGTGGCATAGAATTTAGCATTAGTATTAACATGGCCTTGTTCCAATCAGGGAATCTAAAGATTGGAACCAACAACAAACACTCATTTGCACCCTTAATCCTGGGTAAAGTGAATTTATAGACTAATACTTTTTCTTGATTTTCTTGATTAGAGAGCAGATGTTAAAGAGAAGAAGCAACGTGTTCCTGAGGGGTTATTAAACTATACTTTTGCTGATATAGCCGCGCCCCGATTAGAATGGGAGGAGATGGCACCAGCGCCTGTGCCACGGTTGGATGGATCGTCGGTACAGATTAAGAATCTTCTGTATGTATTTTCAGGATATGGAACTATTGACTATGTAAGAATCTTATTCACCTCCTCTGAATCATTTGCACAGTTCTGATAATCAAATCAAAAGTTGTTGGCACTCTCAAAAAAAAAAAAATGAATAATTGATTTAGGAATTAGGATTAACTTCTTTTTTTGGGTATGTATGTATAGTGAATTTTCCCATGTTGATTTGCATTCTTTTTGTACTTTACAGGTGCACTCCCATGTTGATGTATACAATTTTACAGATAAGACATGGGGAGGAAGATTTGATACTCCAAAAGAAATGGCGCATTCGCACTTAGGAATCACAACAGATGGGAGATATGTATATGTGATCTCAGGACAATATGGTCCACAATGCAGGGGTCCGACAGCTCGTGCATTTGTGTTGGACACTCAAACAAAAAAATGGCAGAGCTTTCCCCCATTACCCGTGCCTAGGTATGTGACCTGATCAAGGCTGGCACACTTGTTTGCTGAATTTGCCAAACAAACTATGCCATGATTCTACTTTGATTAAATTTAAGTGATGAATTTGATAATCTTCATGCATTTAATGCACATAGCTATACGGACTACTATTTTAATTCCATAGCATAGTTAGAAGCAATATTGATAAAAACCAAGATTGAAAATGCCACAGCATATGTTGTAGTGATATTAACAAAAGCCAAAGGTGTCAGATTGGTGCCTCCCAAAATATTAAAAAAAAAACTCAAGGCACAAACAGGATCCTCAATTCCGGAATGGCATTGCTAGCAGTTTGAAGGTGAAAACCTATATGGATTAGCCAGATATGCAGATATCTAACATGAAAGTTACTAATATGAGATTTTCAGGTACGCTCCAGCAACTCAAATATGGAAAGGCAGACTCCATGTGATCGGTGGCAGCAAGGAGAATCGCCACACGCCTGGTAAAGACCACTGGAGTATTGCAGTGAAGAATGGAAAAGCATTAGAGAAAAAGTGGCGAACTGAAGTTTCCATTCCCCGTGGGGGACCACACAGGTTTGTGCATTGCCACCTTCTACTTAAAATTGTTAGTTCTGTGTGCTTCTAGTTACGGAATGAGATAGAGATAGAGATAAAATCAGAATGTAGTGGTTATGCAGAATGGAGGAGTGGCTATTGGAAAAAATAGGGTCACCTTTATTGAGAAGTAGGAAAATGGTGTTTAGTAGTGGTATTCTTTCAACATTTACACAATGGTGAACGGAAACTGTTTCAGTTTTTAGATTTTTAATCGCTAGAAGGAAACGATCCTATGCACACACATCACATGTGCCACCACTTCTACTTTATCACCTTAACTTTTTTGCTTTGAGATTGTCGCCCAATCTCGCTTTGAGATCTTCTGTTTTGTCTAATTTTTGGTTCATTGGTCTGTCAGGGCTTGTGTTGCAGTTGAAAATCAGCTTTATGTTATTGGTGGTCAAGAGGGTGATTTTATGCCCAAGCCTGGTTCACCCATCTTCAAGTGCTCACGCAGGCATGAGGTATATAAGCCCAAATACTGATTTCTAATTAAATAAATGATTGTTATTGGATTGACTTTAAAAATATGACCTCAATTTTTTGTTTTTTATTTTTATTAAATTCAGGTAGTTTATGGTGATGTTTATATGCTGGACGAGAAAATGAAATGGAAAGAGTTACCTCCCATGCCAAAACCTGACTCCCATATAGAATGTTCTTGGGTTCTTGTCAATAATTCCATTATCATTGTTGGAGGCACAACTGAAAAGCACCCTGTGACAAAAAGGATGATCCTGGTTGGAGAATTGTTCCGATTTGATCTACGCTCACACGTATGGAACTTTACGTAATACTTGAAAGCATTATTACTTTTTTTTAAACGATTTTTGGTCTTATTAGATTAGATATTGCTCAGATGCAGTTTTTATCGGCCTTTAGTTTTTAGTTTTATATTTTTATACTATTTGGGAATAATGTCTGAGATTCGTGATCTTCGACAATTACAGAAATGGTCAGTGATTGGAAGGCTTCCCTACCGTGTGAAAACTACTCTGGCCGGTTTTTGGGATGGATGGTTGTATTTTACGTCTGGACAGCGGGACAGAGGACCCGATAATCCCCAACCAAGGAAGGTCATTGGAGATTTGTGGAGAACCAAGCTGAGCTTGTGATATGATCTTGTCTGACTACACATTGTAATCATATCAAAACTGTTTCAATCCCATCTTCTCCCTCATGCATTTCGAAGCTGTTTCATTTTTGTTGTAATTCTTCCTTTTCCCAGGCTAGGTGTAGTCTAGATCTTTATTCTTATTTATTTATTTTGTTCTTCGAGAATTGTATTCAGAGGCGCATGTTCAATTACAGTTCTTGTATAATAATTTTATATTAGACATCACTATAAAGATAAAAATAAATAAAATTTTTCATTCATCTCAAGTTAGATCACATTCAGATCAGATTTGATGTACTTTCAAAACTTGGCTCTTCTGTGTGGTGATGAGATTATAATTCTTCATCGTATTCTATGAAAATCTTCCATCCACTTACTTTCTCAATTAAATTTGTCATTTGCACACTATGCCCCGAGGAATCAAACCTAAATTTTTTTATCCAGGCAAGACTTGTAGAAAAGATTAATTCAAATAGAATACAGTCATACTCTCTGAGCAAAGGGTATGAACAATGACTGAATTAGCATTGCACATAAAAGTCAGCATTTACAAAGAACAGCCAGTTTACATGGGGCCAGAGCATCTCTACCATGAGGAATGTAGACACTACAGAGTTATGATATCACACGTGTGTCAACAGTATAGCTGGTAGAACATAAAATGAACCTTATGAGAAAGACGATTAACAAGTTCCCTCGTCTCCACTGCAAATTTCATGCCACACAAATATCAATCTTTGTGATGCCTACCATGACAGAAGCTGATGAAATTCCATTTTTTTGGTTACGGGAAATAGTCCTCATCTTAGTAGATCTACCTGCAAAACAAATAGTACAATAAACAAGTGCATAGAAGTTCTACTTTGACCAGGCTAGGAAAGGAGAAAATCTAGTAACCATGCTACCAGACCCATATGTCTTCATAAACGCAAATAATGGGTTGTTTGGGATGATCTAAATAAATACACTTTTTGACTTTTTACAAAAAAAATGTGCAAAAAAATAGAGAGGTATGTGACCCAAAAAAGATAAAGATAAAAAGTGTACTATTTTGGTACACCCCAAACGAGCTCTAAATTTCAATATACAGCACAAAGCAGCTTGATCAACACACAAATGAAGTTGAATGATAATTCAGGAGAAAGTGGTCGGTGATAACTCTTGTTGATTACTCAACGATCTGCAACCCAAGATAGAAAAGCACGGTTTGCACCATGGATGTCCAACACCATCAATCTCTCAAGCAATTTACATTAAACAGGTATATCTGGTTCAACAGTAGTTTGTTTGTGATGCCTATGAACATCTCAAAGATTTCTGTACTGTGATTCTCTGTCGCATGCAGTTTGAAATGAGTCAATTAACAACAATAGGTGAGATGGATGAGTGTGCAAGATTGTTTTTACAATAGCACAAAATCACACCATCTACATTTTCGTATTCCCTTTGGACGGTGATATTTATCCTTTTCATTGCCCATTTCCATCTCTCTATTTAAAATGCCCTATTCCAATACACACAAACACAAACACTTGTACCTTAGATTGCTATGGAATGATTACATTTTTCCATGGGACTCCCAAGCACACTACCAATAATTTAACATCTTGCCCCCAAGTTTTCAACAACACTAGAATCAAACTAGGGCAGGATCCAAGTGATTGTTCGGCAGGTAGATGCAGTACTTGCTTTTTCACTTCTATTTTGTGAGAGTCAAAGTCTTGCATCTTACAAAAACCAATGAATTTAAAAGTCTAAATGAGGATACATGCATATTTTAGATGGCTTGAAGACAATCATGGACAAGAACTGTATTAATGCACTGAACAAGGATTACTTTACTGACCTTCTATTGTTCTCCCATTTGAACTGATATAACCATGTATTGCAAAGAAGTTCAAAGTGTTTGATAGATCTTCAAAGAGATTGGCTGTTTCTGCAGAAGAGCATCTTTAGTATTAATGTGTTGACTAAGTATGGAGGCAGCAACTGCACTGTGGGCACATGTGCACACACCCACATAGATATATATATATATAGAGAGAGAGAGAGAGAGAGAGAGAAACCTTTCATCTCAATTTAGGGGCATAAGGAGCTGGGCATGGAGATACAGTGGTATCTGGTAACTGATTTATCAAAACAACAGTTGCCTGCAAGCATGCACTTAGCATTTTCTTTTCCAATCTGACAAGCTGAGTAGCAACTCGTTTCTTCGGGTCCAAATTAAAATCTGCCAACTAAGATAATCGTAGGTATATCATTTAAAGCTCAAGAAGTCACAAAAGATCCAACTATTCCACAAATTGAATAATTGCCCAAGTTACCAAAGAGTCATCTTCACTCAGAGTAGTAGGGTAACCAGCTAGCCTTCTTTTGAAATAATCAGCAAGTTGATCTAAAACTGCTCGTTCCATACAAGGGCTCACCTACAAAACACAAAAAAAAATGTTACCCAGCCATAAGAAACACTCAATGTTCATATTATCAGCATTAATTCAATCCGAGAATAATCTGTTTTCTCTCTTTTTCTCTTTCCAAATTCGAGAATAATGAAGCTGACAGGACAGCAATGAATCAACCACAAGCTAGTAGATCCACCACCCACTCAAAAAAAATGACAAGCCAAAAATCTGAAGCAAAAGAGCTGAGAAAAATTACACTTTTTATTTTATTTCCATAATGCCATATCGCCACTCTGACCACCTCAAAAAAGAAGGAAAACAAAGAAAATAGAAGTATTCCTAGCCCCTGACAGAATTGTATGTAATGCATCATAAAAGTGAATTGAACAAGAATAACTTACCGGACATATTGGACCTTGAGAAGATATGACTGATTGCATCTCTGAAGGATCTGAAACATATCCCAATCGTAGATAAGGAAGCATATCCCAGACAGCTTCTTTCTCCTTTCCCACATAGACCTAGATAGGAGTATGTAAAAATATATGTATCTATGGTAACTGTAAGATTAAAGGTCATTTCATAGAGAGATCAACTTCATACATGAAAAACTTGTACTGATAACTTTCCATTTCTTTGAGCAACCATTCTCTTGTCCTGATACTGAGGATCCTCAGTATTCAAAGCTGCCTGACCTAGACCTAGATAGGAGTAACTTAAATAAACTTTGGCTATGGTAACTGTAAGATTAAAGGTCATTTCATAGAGAGATCAACTTCATACATGAAAAACTTGTACTGATAACTTTCCATTTCTTTGAGCAACCATTCTCTTGTCCTGATACTGAGGATCCTCAGTATTCAAAGCTGCCTGACCAAAGTCAAGAAATAAAAGTACAAATAAAAATGAAGCAAAATATATTAAATCACAGAAGTAGCCAACATGAACCAAGAAGAATGCAGTTAAATAATAAGTTGACCAAACTATCACCTCCACCACCATGCGGTCATAAGTATTATCTTCATCAACAAAACCATAGTTCAGAAGCAATTTTGAATTGGGTTGTGGCCCACACCTACAAAATGTATCAGCACCCAACTTGTGCAGTAAAAAATTTGCATCAATAAAAAACTAAATAAATAATAGATATCATTGAGCAAGAATGACAAGGCAAGATATTCATTGCCCAAGGAATTACAAGAGCAACTAAACGTTGTAGCAAGTTAGGTGATATCAGTAAAGCCACATGTAGTACCAGACAACAATAGAGTCCCCAGCCTTGTATGGCCGATCAACAACCAGTTCAACAGCACCATTGGCAGCAGTTAACATTGCCTTGCAATTGCTTCTATAAGCTAGCAATGGGGGTCCAAGAGGAACTAACGCAAATCTACGAGCCAAACTGACTTTCTGTGTTACATGAGAATTAAATAATTAAATTAGTAATGAACTTAAATAAAGGAAACTAAAATAATAATAATAAAAATAATAACAATAATTTGATATGTTCTTAATAAACAAAAGCATCACTGGATCTACAAAACCCAAAACTGAATGGTTTCAGTAAACATGGTTAAAAACATGATTCAGTTTCCTGTTAATAATGAATGCAGTTACAACATGGTAATTACTCTTCAATTTAATAGGACATCAACGCACAGACCACATTAATCAAGCATCAGTGATAACTTATGAATATCCATAAAATGTAAGTTGTGATAGTGCACGCAAGATGAAACTAGCTTCAAGCCCATCCGGAGCAAGAACAGTACTCCTAAGAACTAACCATAACTATGCAGCTTACGCCAAAATGTGTTAAGGACAAGATGTGACTTTTATGATAACAATGACTTCTGCATATCTTCAGCATTTAAAATGACAGAAAGCACAGGGAGCGTATGGATTGACACAAATAAATGTCTGTAGGTTAACATTATAATCAAGTTCAAGCCTAATATGCAGAGATCATGTGGAAGGTCTTGATGCCAAAAGACACGACACTTATTGCTCTGACAAAATAAATTCAGCTGAATGAAAGTTAAGTATGCAAATTCACAGATGCTAGTGGCACTGCAATATCACTCATTATTCTCAGTTACAGTAACAAATTTACCTGCAAATGGACAACACAAGATTGAACTGCAACAAAAGCTTGCTTAAAAATCTCAAAAGGAAAGGCCTCTGTCGGTATATCATATGGGTATTGCTGCAAAAATGCAAACAAAATTTGCAACAATACAATACAGAATTCCGACAACCAAAATAAAAGAACATATTAAATCCGTGAAGAGAAATCCAATCACTTAGAGTTTATAAAATTTTATCTTATATTTAATTATTAGCTATAATACAGAAAGACAGTGACCTGAAACAGAGACCCAGCCATAAACCAAACAGTGTCAAGCTCATTATACTCTCTCTTGATCCCTTCAGCCCTCTCCAGAACTTCAACCTACATTATTACCAAAATAGTGCTGTGTTAAAGCTTAGGAACAAAATAAGCATTTGGTCAGCTTAAAATCTGTGTGGAAGGCATGCCAACAGTATAGCACTAGCATTCAAATTACAATATCTAAGTGAGAGGGCACATTACCATAGTGGGGCTGCCTGTCAGGTAAGCAAGTTCAGCTTCTGTCCATAGAAGGGGTGACTCCACTGCTAGCTGGCCCCTTCCTCTTTGACGATCAAGCTCCCTGATGTATGGATACCAGAAAGACTTCTTTCCTTGCTTCTTTTCATACATTAGATAGAGAGCCAAGCACGCTAATTCTGACAATTTGTTTGTAGTTAAGAGTTCCGCTGCATTAAAACCCAGCAAACAATACAAGTTAAACTCCGCCTTTCATCAATTTCAAGGAGCTAGTAGACCAGCCAAAAAAAAAAAAAAAAACATAAGTGGCGTTTAATTTGTGGGCATTCTAATATGATTTGCATGTCTTTATGATACATAAAAGCAGATCCTAAGATCAGTTTTTCACCCAATTGTCATATAACCATCCTATACACTTGAGTGATATTTTTGGTTACATATAATCTCGCATGCACTATTGCTCTTGCATTGCTTCTTAAATTCAAAATTAGAGCTTAAATTACAGATGCAAACTTTATGCCAATAATCATGTTGTTAAATATCAATTCCAACAAAAAGCACCACTTCTGGCATTGACTCAAGTGCATTGTCATTAAACATCAATTGATATTAAAGTTTAACTACATGGTGTATTCTACGACAAGTTATCAATGAAATATCATAAAGTTTGCACTGCACCTTACCAATGCTCTCGTTACCCAAAACCCTCTCAAGCGTTACTACCAACGAATTCGGAACATAAAACGCAATATCCCCTGCCTACACATAACAAAAACAAACACAAACATAATTTAGGGACTAGATAAAAAAATCTGGAGCAAACAATGCAAAAACAAATCACTATCATAACACAGGCAGACCTGAAGATCCTCACTCGCAGCAACGTATTGAATGGGCCGATAATTCGCATCGTGAGAAGGCTTTTCCTTGAGAAGAACCTTGCAAGGAGGCAGTCCATTCTTATGCATCCAAGTTTTCAAGTCTTCAAACTCATCTTTTTCCTTCTTGCTCACGACCTCGAGTGACTTCCCATCGTCTTTGCGCGTTCCGGCAACTAGGGTTTCAGAACTTGAAGCCGAGCACATGTGTGTACGACGAAAGGAATTGGAATTTCTAGGGATTCTGCGAAGTGAAATCGAAACCCTAGCGAGGACGGAGAGAGGGGGAGGCGTGGAAGGACGAATTGGAGATGAAATGCATTTGCTGGGTTGCAGATAAGCTACGTCCATGGCGAGTGTGCTTTCGAATTCGAAGATGTGTGGGAAGACTGGCTGAGGTTTGGAAGATATTTTTAATTTTAACGCGATTTCAACTTTTTTGGACTGATGCTCAAGGAAGAAGGATAAGAGAGAGGCGCGTGTTCATGAAGTGTGACAGAGAAATTGGTGTTTTGGCTTGAGTTGAGAGTGACGCCAAATAGGGATTTCATTTCTATTATTATTGTTTTTATCTTGGAAAATCCAGGCATAGTAATTAAATGGATAAAATTTTGAGATTTTTTTTTTAAGGTCCTTAATATTAAGATTTTATACTATAAAAGATATTTAAGAATTGTTTGAAGTGTCTTAAATAAGTATATTTTTTGTCTTTTTTGGACTAAAAAGTTGAGGAAAAAAATATGGATGTTTTGGTTAACTTTTTGACTTTTTATATAAAAATGTATAATAAAAAATTATAAAAATTGGTTTGTAGAGGAAAATTAGGATTGGGAGTTGTGCAGCTATAATTGTTGACTTTTGGTAAATAGTGTTAACTTTTTGACTTTTTAGCTTTTTTTAAGTATCCCAAACTTGGCCTTAATATTTTTATAATATCTAAGATTCCTTAATATTGATCTAGAGAAATTTCAATTCCAGAGAAATTCTCTTCAAAGAAATTCTGGACTTCCCAAAGAATTTTTCTGGGTTCAAACCAGAGAAAATTGAAATTTCTCTGAGTACCAAAGAAATCTAGAGAAAATTGTATAGAGAAAATTTGTATGGCTTTGTGTGGCTCTATTCAGAGAAAATTATATAGAGAAAAGTTGTGTAGCTTTATGTGGCTCTATCCAAAAAAAATTGTGTAGAAAAATTTGTGTGGCTCTATCTAGAGAAAATTTGTGAATAGAGTTAGAGAAAGTTTCTCTAAGTTCACAAATTTCACTGGTTCTATTCACAAAGAATTTCTCTGACTTTGTGTAATATATAAGCCAACAATGCAATCTTTACTAACAAATCCACAAAATAATACTAAAGCAATCAACAATCACAGATTTCAAATAACATTTTCTCCACTTAAATTTAGTTCTAATAAGAAATTCCCCATGAATAGAACAGTTTGTCTCCACTTTGAATTCCAAGACTTACTAAATATGTGTGTGCTACAGCTACAATTTCTTTTCGCAAAATGTAAACATCGGCCTCTTCATAGACATATTCAAGGTACAAATGCTCGTGTAGAACCTTCTGGATGTCGAGAAGAAGATGTCTGTTCAATCTAGAGAATTTCTCCAAACCAGAGAGACCAAAGAAATTTTCTGGATTGAAACTAGAGAAATTCTCTCTATTTGCAGCAGAGTTGTATTTTTATGAACAGTCTTTGGTGATCGTACAATGATCCAGGAAACCCTAACCTTGGATGTGTCTTCACAATCTCGAATCGCATCTCATAATTGAGTTCGTGGGAGTGAGATTCCAGTTCGCAATGACTTTGGCCAGCCAACATCAAGTTCATTGAAGCCTAGCTAGTTGTGATCTGAGTTCACAATCAAGCTTATCCAATTGCGAACTAGTCACGATCGAAGTTCGCATTCGCGATACAACCTAGCCACTCAAGATTTGAAGCTATATTTTCATTGATGTTCCATTCTAATTCAACCTAGATTCAGAGGCGTAGCCCACATGCGAGTTGATCTTTCTTGGAACTAGATCACGATCTGACTCGGAGTTGAACCCTAGCACTTTTGTTTTGAAGTTGCACCAAATTTTAAGTTGAAATCATATTTCACTTCTGATTTTGAGAGCTCACTTTCAATGTCATGACGAGGATGATTGCAGGGAAAAGGTACTATGGGGAGGGGGTAGAGAACTCGGAGGAAGCGAAGAGGTTCCAGGAGATTTGATTTAAGAGAGTCAAATTTTTCTGTCATATATGGGTGTGGGGTTGAGAAACCTTAGATATCATAAGATAATATTGTGGATCTTTTCCATTACTAAAAATGGAAGAGGGACCTTAGACTATTTGTCCTAAAATTTTCCTCTAATCTAAATGATGTGCCAACTCATAATTAATCAATTGTTATATAGTTATTATTTGTTAAAAACTTTTTTTAATTGACTTTTTAAAGTTGGGATTTTGTTATCTTAGAACTGAAAAGTTCGTTTGGTAAATTTTTTTTAAATTTTTTAAAATTTTGTGAGAGAAAAAGTAAAATAATTATAATTTGAATGTGACATTTTTATCTTATTAATTTATTTAACTTCTCTTCTTTTTTTTCTTTTTTTTTACTTTTTTTAGTCCCAATTAAAATATCCAAACAAGGGTATAATTTAAAATTCATCTCACTCTTTTTCACTTTTTCATAAACTTCCTAATATGTTGGATGCTAAATTTTAGGAAATATGTGATTTAGGAATCTTAGTACATATTTTTTAAGTATTTTTATTTTAATAAATCTCTATTTAAAAATATGTATTTTTTCATTTCATAAAATTATGTTTGAATATCTAAAACAAACCTTAGCGTATTATTTTACTCTTACATAACCAAATAAAGTATATAGCAATATTTTTCAGTTACTTAGGTCAAGTTCGGCATATTATAAAAAAATCAAAAAGTCAAAAAGTTAAAAAGTTAACACTATTCACCAAAAGTCAACAATTACGGTTGCACAACTTTCAATCATAATTTTTCCTTACAAATCAATGTTTACAATTTTTTATTACACATTTTTTCATAAAAAGTCAAAAAGTTAACCCAAACATCCATATTTTCTTCCTCAATTTTTTAGTCTAAAAATACAAAAAGCACACTTATTTAAGACATCCCAAACAACCCCTTAATTACTCTAACATAACCAAATGAAGTATATAGCAATATTTTTCAGTTACTTAATCCTAATACTAAAGAACTTACGTGCTGAATTTTTTTCGAGGGACAAAAACATTAGGTTAGATAATAAATTTATCTTTGTTTCGCGTAAAATTTCTAGTCTTTGAAGACTTTTTTTTTATTATAAACTTTTCAATGCCTCTAAATTATGAAACCAATTAATTTGTTCCAATATATCAAGTATACAATGAGTAACACCTTATAATTTGTTGGTTGTGAGATATGAGCCCTAAACTTTAGGATAATATTTTAGGAAAATTTACCCATAAGTCCTAGTTTTTGAAACGTTGAACCATTTAGTCCTAAAAGTTTTCTTATGCTCCATTTAGTCCCATTTTTACATCAACATGATGTAAATGATTTGATGTTTCATTCTATAATTTCAAAATTTATTGAAATCTGATGAACATTAGATGTTTTTCATCCTATATTTTCAAACATTATTGAAATTTGATGAACATTAGATGTTTGAAATCCAATGTTTGTAACATGACTCTGATGTTATTAACATTGTATCTGATGTTATTAACATTATAATGGGACCTTTCAGTCTATAAGAAAACTTTTAGGACTAAACAGTGCATAAGTTATTAATTTAGGATTTATTGGTGCATCCCCCAATATTTTTCATAATAATTGTTTGAAAAATTCACTTTCTATAGTTTAGTTTTAAAAAATTGTTTTTGATTTTTTTTTAATTATAAAGTAGTTTGATGAAAATAACTACTAACAATATATTTTCACCCCAACAAAGATGAAGACTTGAAAATTTAAATAAAAACCATAAGGAAAAGATTTTATTTGGAATACCAATCATATTAAACGATAAGGAAGAGTTGTTGCAATTAATTTGGAAAAAAATCTTGATATTAACTTTGCAAAAGAAAGATTTAACTTGAACAAAAAAAAATTTATGTGTTGGTGATAATTACAAATAAAATACTAAAAAATAGAAATAATAGAAATTACAATAATTATTGAAAAGGCTGAGGCGCAGAAATTCGCTCTCTTTAAGGAGATTCAAGCCCTCCGCGGTTAGGCAAAGCCTCACACCGGTGCAGCAGAAAAAACCCTGACTTGTCCCCCCCAGGATACAACAGCCCGACTAAGTCGTATGGTTCACCAATACTGCACAATTGGTTGAACCCAAAGTTTTATCACACACACCCTTTTTATTTGCCTGATAATCTCACTCAAGACATAACAACACAACCAAAATTTCTTCTCTCGTATGTTCTAAGATATGACATAAGTTCAATATATATAGAAATGAAAACTTTTTAGGCAAGGTTTTTGATGAATAAAAATTGGTGGACTTGACCAAGACCTTGGATGGCTTACTTTGGAAGTCTTGGAATGGATAGGAATGGAAAGACTTGGAGAAGACTAGGAAGACTTATTTAGGAAGTCTTGGAAACTAGAATGGGAAGTAAACTAGGTAGAAAAGAAAAGAGAAACAACCTGTGACACATTATAATATTAAAATATCTGCTAACATTCCCCCACCTATTTTAATATTACAGGTAACAAAAACTGAGATTATTAGGCAAATAAGGATATTATGCATCATGGTAGGTGTGCTCTGCATTGAACCTCCATTAGTGAAACAATAATATCTACTCTAGAGCCAATAGTATGCTCAGCATTGAATTATGACTACTTAAGGGAAATAAATAATTATTGCACACACATAATATTTCAGGTGTTCACAAAAGCTTTAAAAGGTAGCACATTACGGCCTTGTGCGATACCAAGATTCATGAGTGTGTTTGAGAATTAGCCCAAATCTCATAGGTAGCGGCCCCACTACCACACTCACATAGGTGAATTCTGTCAAGAGTGCTCCTGTAACTATGACACCCCACTCAATAAGAGCTACAGAAATTCATTAAGAGTTTTTTAATAACTCAACCTCTACAACGTTACAGGATAAATACACTTACATCATAGGGATGGGTAAAAAGTAAGTTAATGCATTTCTCACGGCCATCATATGATCATTTTTCTCATTGAACCCAGTTACAGGATCTCTGGTCCCTAGGTTGAGTATCCTCATACATGGCTCCGGCTATATTCAATGGGCTTCAACCCCATCCCCCTCGATGTATTCCAAACTCTATCTCTTGCTAAGGCCTTAGTTAATGGATCTGCAAGATTATCACCAGATTTAATACAATCCACATTTATGACGCCATTATTCATATAAGATCTCACAGTACTGTGTTTTCTTCTGATAGGTCTGGATTTACCGTTATAATAACGGTTATTAACTCGACCAATTGCTGCGGTGCTATCACA